AACGCCCTTCTCTTCCTGAATACCAGGAGTTAATCAATAAAAAAACTCAACTGGAGACTGATTTGGCTAACTGAACTAGCCAGTTTCCTAACAGCACGGCCCGAGGAGCAAAAATTGCTCACCAGCAACTCGAAAACCAACTAACAACTACCCAAAATGAATTAGCAGAATGGACAGAAATTTTTGCGGACGAAACACCACAGCAAGCTTGGCTTAGATTAAACCAAACTGAAACAGAATTAACTCAGCACCCCAACATTACTCATGAGGACTACCAAAAATTACAAACTAACCAAAAACCAGATAATTTACCAGATGATTGACAGGCTCAAATAAGTAAAATTATTTCTTTAGAAAAAAAAGTAAAAGAAGGTGAAAATGTTCTCAAAGACTACTTAGGAGATGAAACTACTAACTTGGATAATTTGAGCGCAAAACTTTCTAACTACCACCGAGGCTGAATTAACCCTCACGACAAAAAAGTTCGTCAGGAAAATGGACTAAAAACGGTAACTGAAGTAAACGACGAATTAAATAAAATAGCCCAAGAATTAGGATTGGATAATTTTAACGATTTAACAGTTGATAACTTATCTAACCTTAAAAAGGCCGAAGCAGAAAGAAATCATGCTCGCAACAGTTTACGAACAAATAACTTAAATACTCTTCCGCAAATACCAGCAAATGAAACTCTTCAAACATTACTGGACCGACCAACTCAACAAGAATTAGACCAGGTAAAAAAAGACAAAAATGAACTAGGAGAAAAAAATAAAATTCTGTCTGATGAAAACAATAATTTACAAAACCAAATCATCAACAAAAACTCCACTATTTCAGCAAAAGATGAAGTTATTGCAGATTTAGACGCTGATAAGCAAAAATTAGAAACTGATAAGTCCCAGTTAGAAAATAAATTAAAAGACTTTATTAATCCTAATGATAAAAACAAATTAGAGAAGGTTGCCAAAGATGCTGGTTTTGGTTTCACTCAAAAAGATATTGATGAAGCAGTTCAAAAAGAAAAAGAAAATTGAAATGACTTTATTGACCCAAAAAATTTAGAGAGTGAAGCAAAAAAGGCGGGTTGAAAGTATCGTCAAGAGGATTTAGATATGGCAGTCAAAGAGTTAGTTGATCCCAACACCTACCGAGCGGACTGGATTGATCCAACTAAGTTAGAAGAAGAGGCCAAGAAAAAAGGAATGATTTCAGGAACAAAATTTCGAGAAATAGAAACCAGCCTAAAAAACGCTAATGACACCATTACTAGAACTCAAACTTATTTAGGAACAGACGATTTAAACAACTTGCCGACTCTGAGTGGCAAGACTCTCGCTCAATTACTGGCCGATAGCAACCAATTAGGCGAATTGTCTGATACTCTTAAAAATAACTTTAACCTAACTGATTTAACAGAATGAGATAAGCACCTAGCGAAAAAAGGAGATTTAGACAAGGCCAACAAGCAATTAAAAAACTATCATGATAATTTGATTTCTTTAGGAATTATTGACCTGGATAACTGACTTCAACAAGTTAAAAACTGAAAAAATGCTGATTGAAGACTGAAAAATTTACAAAATAAACTAAAAAATCGATTGGGCCTAAACAATACTAACCTCACTAAATGAGAAGAGGAAGTCATTAAACTCCAAAACCGTTTAACTCAAGAACAAATTGAGAATAAATACCGAGGCTGAAAATCTCCCGATGATATTGCTCGACTAGAAGAAGAATGAAAAAATAAACTAGAAATTGAAGAGAGAGCCAAAAAATCAGAAAAGGGAAAAAAAGAAAGAAGAGAGCAAAAAATTATTCGACAAATTGTTACTATTCGTGAACTTAAATCTTCCCTGAGCGAAAAAGACCAGCAAATTGAACAATTGGAGTGAGAAAGAGACTTGCGTCCTAATATTAGCCGCGAACAACATAAAAATTTAGTACGTCAAAGCGGCCAATTAAAGCAAGCCCAGGATGATTTAGAAAAACTCCAAAAGCAACTACTTTAAGAGAAAGAGGGGAAAGAGTTAGAAAAGAAAATCCGAGAAGTCCATCAAAACATTATCGCCTCCTTAAACGATAAACTAGCAAATAAAGACAACAAGTTAAAAGAAGTTAAATTAGTCAAAGAAAAAGAAAATAATGAATTAATTCAAAAAAATAAGTCATTACTTGACTTGAAAAACGACTTGGAAAGCCAATTGGAACAGGAAATATTGGAAAAAGCTGCTCTTATAAACGAAAAAGAACTGCTAACTACTGAAAAGCAAAATATTGAAGCAAAACTGAACCAAGAATTAGAAAAAGCCTTAGGTGAACTAGAAAAAAAGACTCAAAATAATCAACAAATTAAAGCAGAAATAAACAAACTTAAAGAAACTAAGAAAACTATAATTAGAGAAGGAATTGAAGATACTGTAACCTTTTTACTTGGACTTTACTCATTAACTAAAAAATGAAAGGCTAAAGATCAAGAAGAAAAAATTGAGGAACTAAAAGAACAAATTAAGAAAGAAAAAACTAGTCAGCAAAATAAACAAAAAAAATATGAAGAAAAATTCAACAATTTAAAGGATGAATTAGACAAAGAAAAACAGAACCACCAGGATACTAAAGATAGTCTGGCAAAGATGGAACAACAAATAATCGAAAAGTTAAATACTACACTAAAACTTGATTTACAAAATCCAACCTTGAAACAAGTGATAACTCGCATTCAAGAATTAATTAACAAAGACCCGCTGAATGACGAAAATGTCAAAAAAGAATTAGCCGCCGCACAAGCAACTATCGTTCAATTACAAAAACAACTGGCGGAAAGACCAGACACTCCTTTTGGGGAAGACTTAGCAGTTATTAAAGAGACTGATTTACAAAGTCTAGAGCAATTATTCCCTGATCAGTTAGATAATCATTTCCGGGAACAAATTAAACAAGCCGCTAATTATCAACAACTAGCCACTGCTCGGCAAGACTTTATTAAAAGGCATATTTCGAAAAATTCTGGCAATCAGCAAGAAGTTACTCAGCCTCACTTGCCAGCCACTCAGCAACCGCCGAAAGAAAGAATAATCTGAATAACTCTATTGGCTGCTAGTTTATTAACGATTGGAGGATTATTAACAAAATTAAGGAGAAAGAAAAAATAAGAAAAAGAAATGCCTCGTCCGCTAACTGCTTCTACCTAATTCATGAGGATTAAAAAAGGAGGTTTTTCTCCGTTCCCAGCAATTTTAGTATATTTTCAATTATGATACTAAACAGGGCACGATTTATTAGCAAGAAAAAATAATTTGAATAATACAAAAAACTACTCCAAGTAAAGAAATAATAAAAAAAATAAGAGAAGTAAAAAAGGCACGTCAAATACGAGGAATAAAACGACGACCAAATCTTTGTTTATAATTCCCATATTTTTTAAGCATAAAATAAGAAAAGACAAGAATGAGTAATGAAACAATCAACGATTTAGTAAATAAAAGAAACGCTCGTTTACTTGCCATAATAAGAAAATTTTAACCCTCGTAGAATGATCACAAAAAGAAAAAAAGTTTCCTTAATTCATTTTTTAAGACAATTTTTCAGCGACGCGATAGGAAGAGTAGAGGAGGTTATTACCGTCGACTACCAGTCATTTTTGTTTCATATACTTTAATAAGAATAAGTTTCCTATTTTTGCTAAATCTAAAAAAATCTCCACTCTGAACAATATTAAATTATATAATAAACTTAATTATAGAATACTTAAGAAAAGTATCCATATTATTCCAGTTGCTACTAAAAGTTAATTGGGCTAAAGCTAGGTGAGACCAAACCCTAGCAAAATTAGAATAGAGTAAAATATTATGTCAGATCAATTTAATAATCAAAGATGTAGCAAATGCTACCAAACATATTCAGGTTTAAAAGCAACGTGTTATGATTCTAGTTGTAGCCGTGAACACTTTTTCAAAAAAAAATGGACAACTTCTTTGTGTTGTGTGTTTAATGAGAGAAGGGAAAATAAAATGTCAAAAATGTAGTAAATTAATAACTTGCTTAGATGAAATGGGTAAGTGGAGAAGAAACGTGGTTCTAGTGGATGACCATACTTATGATATCAACAATTTTGGGTGTGAATGTCAAGAATGTAATCATAGCAAGAACAAAAAAAATAAGTTAAAACGTTGTCAAGGAACAATTTCCAATCATTATAACGGGGGCTTGGGGCATGGAGGCTCAACACAATTTAACCAATGTGATTTGGCCGTTCCGATTGACGAAGGGGATTTTTGTCAGCACTGTAAAGGTCAAACAGAAACCTATCAACAACTAAGAACTAGAATAAAAGCAGAGGAAAAGCGAGTTTTCGGAAAATATTGCCAAGCCCACGAAAAAGCCCAAAATTATTGAAATTCCCTGTCTAGTTCTGAGCGAGAAAAAGAATGTGAGCGATTGGTAGAGAACTTGAAACTCGGAAAGTATGAGGGAGGAAAAGGATGGAGAGGAAATAAGGATATGGAAGGTTACGCTTGCTTATGAGTTCCTGATGGTAGTTTTTGACAAATTAAAAACGGAAAATATGTTTCTAGCCAACCACACTTGGTTCCATGTCAAATAACTGAGGAGTTTTATGAAAAAATGTTTGGAGATAATTTGTCCAAGGAGTTAGTGTTAAGAAACTACATATTAGTAAAAAAAGATAATAACGGTGATAAAGACAACTCTCCCTCTCCTAATCCGGCGGCTCCTGCTCCTCAATTGATAACTGATTCAAACAAAAAAAACGATAATTCAGTAAATCCAGGCCATTCTCCGAAGCCAAATCCAGAAAAAGATAGTCTGCCCGAAGAAAAAAATGGTAAAGAAGACAACGCGGTTAAATCTACCGAAAATTCGCCTATCAAAACTGATAATCAAATCCTAATATCTCAATGTCTCAGAGACATTAAGCAAGTAACTTTAACGGCTGACGGCGATTTAATTATTGAATTTAATAACTCAGAAAATAGCCATTCAATCAGTCAAGTTGTAACTTCTGGGCAAATAAATAATAATCAAGAACTTCAAAAAATTAAGAATTACTGTCAAAGGAATGGCAAAAATAGTTTAAGCCAGCAAGAATTAAATAGTATTCTCACTGCTAATTCCACCGCAACCGAAAGTCCTAAAGAGGGCAATAATACTCTCTTAGTTGGAGGAATTATTTGTGCGGCCTTAATTGTCGGAGTAGTTACTGGATTATTATTGAAAAAGAAGAAAGTTAAAAAAAATTAGTGTTTACCAATTAAAATTAATTCTATGCCTAAAAAAACTCACGA